TATCAACCTAAAACCTACCGAGCCATCGAAGTAAGTGCGCCAGTGATCCGTCGATGTGGGTCCCCCGAGTTGTAATCCTGTACAGGACGCAGAAGGTGAAAGCATTCGATCAAACGATTCACCCAAACTATGCGAGGAATCGGTTCCGGTATCGATACCGGTAGGATCTGGAGTGGACAGAAGAAAGGAATTCCCGTTGGACGAGGAATCCGGTTTCAAGTTTATGTTCGGCGGTGGGAGTGGTGCTGCAGCGGAGACGGCGGCGGGAAGTGAAACCGATGACAAACTAGAGGAGGAACCAATCAATGCACCAGAACGAGTTAGTCGATTGCGTGTGATTTTCTCCCGTCGTTCGTGCTTCGCTTTTTCATCTGAGGGATGTAAATTGAGGTAGATAACGGAAATGTATTCGTTTAACAACAACAACAAAAAATTACGATGACTATGAATAAACCATTATTAGGGGACAAGAACAATAAAATAGCCAACAAATTAATAGCTAGAAAGTGAAACGGAATTTATTGGTCATATGCATCTGAAAGTACACTACATGCAGAAATGAATAATAAAAAATAATTTTAAAGAGCTCCAGGACATCGAACACTGGTAAACCAAAATGTTTACTCATTACTTACCTAATATTAGGCCTGGTTTCATGCCCACACTGAAACATTTTTTTAAACGACAATGTGAACAGAACCGACGCGTGGCCACTTCAATGGTACAGCGCTCGTTGAACAGACATGTTGTCACCTGGATGGAGACGTACAATTAGTAAGTTATGTATGAAACTCAAAAGTGTCCCAATGCTCTCTATGCAATTNACAAAGAAAGTGACCGAGTCTGATAAGCTTGTGGCTGGTGTGAAAGAGCCCAATTTTTCTAATTGTTGCCTATTATTTGATATTTTTGTTCCAACACCACTAACGTGGTATAATTCCCAAATAAAATTGACTGATTTGTTCCCTATCCAATTATTTTCCTTTTTAAGTCGGCTGATCAACTGGTCACCTCCAGATCGGTCGATTTTACTGGAGGGCAATGATTTTCCACGACTACAAATGTGTTTA